CTTAATCCTATAATGACTAAGCCCTGAACGCCGAGAAACAAAAACGGGTACATAGGCTAACACACGACCCGGCCATGTAAACCCTCGCCATCCTATGCGAAACAACTATGTCCTCATCATGCGTGCTGTAAGCCCTCGCCATCCCTTGCAACAGATACTATTTCATGATCATGCGTGCTGTAAACCCTCGCCATCCCTTGCAACAAATACTATTTCCTGACGTTCATACACCTATGAGACTTTCCTTAACAAGGAAGTACTCTTGAGGTCCCCGAAAGTTCTTTATGGTAGGGTGGTTTGCGGGTGGGACTGGCAGCCACCGCAGGTGGGCTCCCAGGCAGGCGGTGATCAGCCGCGGCAGAGCTTGTAGACCCTAAACCTTAAACCCTGAACCCTAAACCCTGAACCCTGAACCCTGAACCGGCAGAGCTCAGTGTCCTCGTTTTCCCCTGCTTGGGCCTCCTGGGCGGCCCTCGGCGCTATCGCTGGATGCGCCCCGAAGTCCTGGACCCCCCGCCTGAGCCCCTGAGGAGGGAAGAGTACCCCTGCCTCAGCCCTTCCTTCGTTTTCCCCTGCTCGGGTCTCCTGGGTGGCCCTCGTCGCCATCGCTGGATGCGCCTCGAAAACTTGGCCAAAACGCACCCCGGCAGTGGTCCAGGGAGTAGAAGTACCGGTACCTGCTGGTTTCCCCATGAGCCTATCCCCCCTAGCTAGAGGCCCCCCCAGATGTGCGACGCCAAAAAACGGGGTCGTCTGAGCCGACGTTGGCGCGTCGGCTGCCCGCGTAAGGTCGCGCGCAAGCGCCCTCGTCTCCACTGTAGCGTGCCGCGCGGACGGCCCGCGTGAGCCGCGGTGTGAGGTCGCTACGTCATCTCGCGTAAGTCCCGTTTTTGATCGTCGTCCAGATGGGGTCCGAGTGCAGTCTGCCCGCATAGTCGGGATGCGCGACTTTCCAAGGCTCCCCTTGCAGCCTCGCCCCTTCGGCCCATCCTTGGCCGCTTTCGCTGGCCGCACTCCGCGAAGTTTCGGCGTGGCCGTCCAAGGCCATTGCACTCTTACCGCGCATCCTTATCATTCGAATAAGCGAAAAGGCAATCGACATAAACTTTTGCCGTTTCGCGCGGATTTCTTGGATCCGCGCTGGCCCCCCCCACCCCAGCGGCGCCTCTGTCGCCGCCCCTGTCGCGCTTCGCGCGCGCCAGGGAAGGGGGGTCCAGCGCGGATCCGAGATATCCGCGCGAAGGGCCGAACATTTATGGCGTGCTTTCTTCTTCTGATGCATTCGAGACGGACTGGTGGGTCGACCCTGCCAAATCGAGGGCACCCTCGTGTGTCCTGGGCTTCGCGACCCGTGCCTTCTTACCTTCCCAATCATTCAGGAGGGGAACGCACACACAGACACAATTAATCGTCGACCCCGCAGAAAAAATGGGAACATATGGGCAGTGGGGGGGAAGGCAGAAACCCAGAACATGTGGGAACATATGGGGAATAGTTTGATTTGTGTGTATTTATTTGTGTGCTCTGGGGCCCCTTCAATCATGGCAGTGTGGCCCTCGGACGGGTCTTGTGCCCTCTCGCTTGTCCTTTCCAACCACTCCCGAGTGTCACACGGGTCGACTCTAGCCTTCGTATCGCATCGTTCGCCATCTGGGTTTTCCCTCTCTTCGGCAGCGTGCTGGCCCGGAAAAGGGGAAGAGGGGGACCAAACATACCACGGATGCACGGATGCCGTGGGCAGGTAAACATGAGAGAGGGGAGACACATCTATACGGGTGGACTGCAGCCTGGCGTTTGCCCCCCCCCCCCCCCCCCCCGGAGGACTCCGCGCTCGGCCCCGCGCTGCACGGCAGCGGCGCCGCCCCCGCGCTCGCCGCCGCCGCGGCGGCCTGCGGCCTGGCGTGCCTCGCCGCGCTGCTGCGCCCCCGCGGCCGCGCGGGCGAGGCTGCTGCCCGGGCCTCCGGCAACTGCGGGGGCGGCGCCGCCTCCCGGGACGCAGAGGGCGGCTGCGCACCCCGCCGCCCATGCCCAGGCCTTCGGAGGAGGGGGAGGAGGAGGAGGAGGAGGAGGAG